TTTCGAGAGGTGCCGCAGTGCGCGCGCTCTAGAGGAGCGGCCGGCCGGCCCGGGCAGCAGAGCAGGAGAAAGTGATCGCATTCTTGGCGAGGTTGCACAATCTGCCGCCGCTCGGACGCCGCGCCACCGCGACCGGCGACGACCACGGCGACGACCGCCATGCCCCGCCACCACCAACCACCAGCCGGCCAGCAGCGTCCGCAGGGTCCAGCGGATGGGGTGGGGAAAAGGAGGGGCATAGGAGTGGGGGTCGGGGTGGGGTGGACGAGGTCCTTTGCATTCAGACAGTCAAGTCGACCGGGCAGCTCAAGAGCCGTCATCTGCAACAGCAGAGCACCATCCGCATCATGTGCACACACACGAGCAGCGAAAAACGTTCAACAACTCTTTAGGCTCTGAATAACGATTTCGCCTTCGAAACGATTACTTTTTACTACCGACTGCTTGGGAAGGGGGTGGGGGGTGGGGGTGAAGTAGTTGAAAAGAATTTTGGACCAAATAAGCTTGAAAAATGTAAGCTTAATCTGATTGCAGGGCGGCGAGGGTGGTGGTGGTGCAGCCCGCGCGCGAGCGTCTGCTCGGCAATGCCCGTAGCGCTGGCTATAAACAAGCATATAATCCCGTGCGCCGGCTTTATCGATTTGCGCGGGCCCCCTTACACGTGCCGCGGCCCGCGGCCCGGGTTAAACTTGAATGGGGAGGCCGCGGGGATGTGGTCTAGGAACACCGAGGACGAGGAGGCGGCAGCGGCAGCGGCTGCAGCTGCAGCGGCAGCAGCTGTAAGGGTGCGAGTAAAGAGGTGCGAGCATACACCGCCATACACCCCTTTGCCGCTCCTGCCGCCGGTGGGTAGGCAACCGTTTCGACGCCACCCCTTTGCCTCTGACCTGGAGGACACGCGGACGGACGCGTGGCCCGCGGCGGCGCAGCCTAGCGCATGCACCACAGCGTAGACCAGCGACCAGCCCCGCGCCGCGCTCGCGCGAGCAGTTTATGGATATGTGTCTGTCAGCGCGCAATGACTTTCGCCTTGCCTCTGGCTGGGCGCGGCGGCGGGGCGGGACGCACTGGAGCACTGGGCACGGCAGCATAGGGGAGGAGGGCTCATTCAAATAGCATTTGGAGCGAGGAGCGCGCGCCAAGGAACGTGACTTCGAGCGAGGGGAGGGGGAGACGCCAAACGCCAAGCCATATCGCATGTGTCTTCGCGAAATAACAGTCCCGCTCTGCCGTACGAGCCCCGTTCCCGTTCGCCCCGCCCGGCCCCATCGCCGCGGCGGCCACGCATCACTCCGGGGATCATTCTCCGCAGCGTGACAACTGCCGCCCGTGCCGTGAGGCCCCCTATGAGAATTTTACGGGTCGGCTCAGCGGCGCGAGACGTCGTCGTCGTCGTCGTCGTCGTCGTCGTGAATGGGGGAGGGGCCGGCCGCCGGCCAGCCGCGCGGGGCGCTGGATGGCGTGGCGGGGATAATACCGCTACTTTATTTTACTTTTATTTTTTCCCCTTGCACTCGGCCGCAGCAGCAGCGGGACGACATTCGCGTTGCAAGCCAGCCGCAGGAGGAAGCGGGCAGAGCGGCGGCAAAGCTCCGCTCCGCACCCTAAAGTCCGCCACGCCAAGCGAGCGCGCCGCAGATAAATTAACGCGCTGAGATTCCCCGCAATGTGTTCCGGGAAGGGCGACAAAGGGAGCTCGCGCCTCAATTAGTTTACGTCTGTTTAACAGAGTTAGGGCCCCGCTATGCGGTATGCGGAGCGCGCCCGAGACATCCCCCCGGCGAGGAGGGGGCTGCGGGCTGCAACGCTAAGGGGATGGCGAAAATACAAGCAAAAGTTTTATTTCTCCCTTTCCATTTTTGACCTGACATGATTCAGATTCATCTAGGATCACGAAATAACGCATTACGGTAAAGCTGAAATGCAGAAGAATAGGGGGAAGAAAAAAACGGAAATCGCTATGCTTTAACATGGTGACTTCCGTTTTCTTGTTCCCTGCATTCTTCTGCATTTCAGCTTTACAAATATGCTTTACATATTCTTTATGGACCATTGAATGTTAGAGAGAGAAACGCTTAGAGTTTTGTGACAGTTCATACAGTACTTCAAAAGCTTCAAAGCTAAATGTTGTTCCACAAACATCACAAGCACACTTTAGAAAGCCAATGGCAATCATCTGGTGGCAGCCTATATTACTTGTAAACACAAAAATTTGAGTTATACTATATTGTCCTGTAATGTTAAACGTAAATGAGATGGATTTAGAGAGGACAATATGAGATGGAGTAATCGCTTGTTGGCGTACAGAGTGAATATGTGGTTTAGCTGAACAAACATTTGTGGTTGAATCACAAATCTACAAAGGGGTTGTAATAATAACTACTCTAGAAATCACAAAACTATTATGGTCTTTTAAAGTTAATAAATTTGCATTACTCACCAATGTAGTGTCACAGCCAATGCGCTTGGTTGACTAGTTGAGGTTATATTTCCGTGCTGATGATTATTCACTAACAGAATGGTGGGTTCGAAGCGTTCTGTCTCACGATCTAAAAAATAACAGTACGCTCTATGACTCATAGAAGGAATATTTCAGAGGAGGTTCGACAGAATGGGCGATGATTCTAGCGTTCTTACATTAAAATGAGTCGACACCTAGTAGTCAACTGCACCATGCTGGCTGAACGTCTTTTAACAAACACATACACAAATAACACGAATGCAGACAATCTTTTCGACTCGATTTCCGAAATTTAAGTTTAAAAGGAGAAGAATATCGTACAATGATGAAGAGCTAACTTTTTCATTCAAACACTTTTGTCAAAACCAAATCACAATCTCCGAAATACGTCACTTGCGGCAACAGAGCCAGCTTCCACTCCCGCCCCGCGTTCGCTATTCATCGCACCGATTGTTTCACTGCAAATAGTGATTGTGCCCGTTGCCAGCAGGTGGCAGTAGCAGTGGCAGTGCCAGCCTTGTCGTGGAACCGTGCTAACCTCTCAAAGTCGTGAAGTCAATAAACACACGAGTGATTTTCTGTTTTTGAATGTAGCTAAGACGTGTAAGTGAAGTGCTAGTATTTCCTTGAATTGCTGTGAAAAAGCTTGGATTCCAATTACCGGGCCAGCACAAGAAGCACAAGATCAGAGTGAGCGAATTTAGTGTACCCGAGCCCTTCACGACCATCTCCATTCTACCACCATGTGAGTTTCTTTATTTTATTAATTCAACATGTATCGAAAAGACTGCTCATTTTGAAGGGAAAATTTTACGTAAGTAGAAGGTAGAATTTTAAGCTAATTAGCTAGTTTACTTGTTTAATGTTAAAGCGACAAATCTTTCAACCCAAGCAAACTGATAGTTTTACAAAAACTTCCAAGTTTTACTACACTGAGTTTATACTGCGTACTATCTTCTACAAGGTCTCATTCAGCATCATAAATAATTAATTGTAAGTGTTGGGCGCAACTTTGGTTGCATGTTCATTGCCGTTGTCAACTATTGAATTGATTATTTTTCAACGCATTTATAAATTTCTATAAACACTATGCAAGGAGTTTGACAACTCTCTGGCCATGCTACTCTTGGTTTGTTAGAAGTGAATTTAACTCTCCTTCACTGCTGTTCGGTCAGCTGTGGCTGTTGCAAATTCACTCGCTTTATATTTTTCATCAAATGTAGAATCTATTGCAACTGGCTAAGAGCTCACTTAGACATTTGCGACCACTATGGCTTCGAGCAACCGCATGCTGCAGGACCCCGCTCTGCAACAATGGGTGTCCGCCCCCGCCCTCCC